GTAAGATAGCCTATGAATCCCAAGCACACTACAACATTGCCGAAGTGGTGCAATCCTAAGTATCTATTATTCATGAAAACTGCAGTCACTTTATTAACGACAAAAAGTCAAAATTCATGTAAAAGTAGTCTCTGGGGTTAATCCTCCTGAGAAGCAATTAAAAAAAATTGAATTTCAAATCCATAACAAAATGGATGAACATAACAGACAACAGTATCACACGATTTAGTTGGTTGCTTTAAAAAGATACAAGATGATATTTAGCCTAGGTCTGAACTTGCTCCCAGGAACCTTCATATATACATAAATACAGGTGACTAAATTTATCTCCTGTAATCTCTACTCAACTACCTTTCTAAAGCAATGCTGAGACTGAATCAACAGGCAATGCTAACTTCAGAGTATCAGATTTCCTCATCTGTACCATACATATTCTTTTTCCTTTATGCTCAAGTTATCTACAAACTGATTCCAAACATTAAATACTGACTTTGACCTGTTTTCCATGCCTAAAAAAGGACAACCACTGAACAACCTCCAAACTCTGGTTAAACTCACTGTAAAACCAGTATTAATAATAAAAATCTGGTATTGATTATAGATCTCTACCTATAAGACATTATTAATAACCACAGTCTGAAAAAACAGGATGGTGAGCATTAAAGGTTAATGACTGACTCATTAAAATAAACGCTGGATACTGAAGCACATCACCAAAATCAATTGTAATAATTTTTTTTTTTGCAATAATAATGGCTTAGTGATAGAAGTTATTCTAATTAACCCATAGTTTGAGAGGGAAGAGGTGAATTCATACCTTTCCCAAGGGTATTTGCACATAAGTGAATATAACGAACCCAACTGGAATTAGAACTCTACTCTTTGATTACCAATTTCAAGCCAATACACTACCCGCACATCCAAGTTTACAGCAACTGATATTCCCAAGTAGTCACCCATCTAGATAAAGACCAGGCTCAGTATTGCTTAACTTTGGTGATTATAGGGGAAACGGGGGTTTCAGTGCGATATGGCCATAATCCTAACTCAGATTGATATGGTTTGTGTTATTCTTCTTTTTCAGCCAACTCCAGACTAATTTCCTTTTACACTCATGGAATGGATCACCTTCCTTTCACAGTGTCATTCCATTTCACCCCTTCTACATATTTTATGCTAATTGTTACTTTGTCAGCCTTGTCATCCCAACTTATTCAATCTGTCCGTTTCTTATCCACACACTGAATACGACTATCTCATTTAACTCATCCACAGAGTTTCACCTCTTCTCTGAAAAATTAATTCCCCTGTCCTGTTCTTTCTTGATTTCTATTAAGCCATAATTTCTAAGGTGTTTTCTTATTTCTTCTGCTGCCATTAGAGTTTGTTCCTCTGTATCATCAATATAGAAATTTATGGCTTTTTTTTTTTTTTTTTTTTTTTAAAAAAAAAAAAAAAAAAAAAAAAAGAGCCATAAATTTAAAAAAAAAAAAAAAAAAAAATAAAAAAATTCACCTTTTTTTTAAGGTTCATAGGATTATTGCTATTATCTTTGGTGCTGAGTTAATTCTAACTCCCAACTCTTGTAAATACATTTTAACTTCATAGTTTACCAGCTGGTACTTCCACAATTTATTTTGAAACTGTAAATAGCTAATTTCAGGTTAACTACTGTAGTTGCTATCATTATCTGTCTCCATGTTTGAAACAGTCTCCCCTATAAGCATTCATTGTACCTCCTATCATGTGACATATGTTTAATATGAAACTGATCTTTTTTCTTTATTGGCTAAACAACTGATGTCAACAATACTGATCAAGTCTTTCATCAGAGAAGAGCACACTTGAGTATCTCCATGCAGAATAAGGTACCATCTGAGAGCACTTAAGCAAAACCGTGACTTGGATTGGTTAAAAAGTTTCTATTAAGAAGAAAATTTACTTAATAAACCAAATATTTTAGCTAACCCCATGCAATGTTGCAGAAGTTGAACCAATATAAATTTCAAAATGGTGCAACTTTTGCATCTTGATAAATGAAAATGAGAATCTCCCCTTCTAAGTTATGGAAGAACCAATATTACAAAAGTTGCTGTGAACATTCAGAATTTTCTGTTTGCCAAACTTTCCCAATTCTTCCCATAATGGATAATACATGAGAAGGCCATAGAATGGATCTGCTGAAACAAAGAATGCATTCATTATAACTTCCACCCCCAACAAACTTTCTATCAATAGAATTCGTCACATGCATAGAATCATTAATAAGAATGAAGAATTCCACATCTGGTGTTATAGAAGTAGCTTAAAGAAAGAAAAAGTTCCAAAACATAATGAGGCACTTTATTTTCCAAATTTGTACAATGCCTGGAATTTGTTTTCTCTCTCCCAAGAAAAAAAAAAAAAAAAAAAAAAAAAAAAAAAAAAAAAATTAATTATTAAAATAAAATAATAAAAAAAAATCTTACACAAAATATGTAGAGCAAATAAATAAGTTGGTACAATTCTTGTTTTGAAAAAAAAAAAAAAAAAAAAAAAATTCCACATCTTTATAAAATAATGGAGTAACATACCAAATCATCAATACACACCAAATCTTCCTTTTCTTGTCAAGAAACAGAATCTCTTAATACCATTAATACAAAATAACTCAGTACATTAGAATTTAAACAGATTTAAAATAATCCTTTAATATTCAGTTGTGTAATGAAAAAAAATTCAAAATACACAGAAAATATTCCTCCTACATAAGGAGTGGGACTTCTGATATTCTCATAAAATGAAAAAACAAACCTATGATACTGATCCTAATGTGCCGGTATTATAGATGGATCACTGAAGGTCCAAACTATACAATATAAAAATTCTTCAGGGAAAGATGCTCTATTAAAATGAGTATTTTATTTAATAAACTTAATATGGCACAGCAATTGGTGAACAGAAGTGACAAGTTATTGCACTAAATCTTTCACACAGATTACCTCCCTTGAAAATTCAAATTTCTTCACTTTTTTTTTTTTGGTTTAGTTTGAAGACAAAACTGTAGGACCAGTAAGAAATATGAAACTATCAAAATCCCAAAACAGGCAGAGAAATCCTGGTCAGAAGGGATGATCAAAAACTGCGTAAGAAAATCTAAAAATGGGTTAATTTTTTTGGATTGTGTGTATATATAACACACAAATCTAAGTTATTTATATTGAAAACACAAGCACGATAACATTTCCAAGTTTAAAGTGGCTGCTTATATAACATGAAAATGCTAAAAAATACTCAATTTTTTTTTTATTGTACTTGTCATTATAGGTTATATTACAATCAAGTTACAGCATGTAAATGAGATCCTATTCAAAATTGGATAGCAAGAAGGCAAATTACATAAGATGTAAAGCCAATTAAAAAAAAAAAAATTCAACAAGTTTTAAATGATCATCTAACTAGAATGCAATCCATTTCATCTGGTAATCATGACAATGGAAATTTATTTATTTCAAGGACTTTGACAGAAAATAATTTTATTTTTCATGTTTGAGTTTCATTTACATTATGAGTCAGATAAAAAAAAAGTTTAAAAGCTTCCAAATGGATAAATCTGGCATTGTTTTGGAGAAGAGAGAAAACATTTAAAATACTGACTAGTGGTGAGAAGCAACTATTTTAACCAGTGGGTAGACTCTCACTATACATGTAAGTAACGATATATCTGGTCACTGCAGACACAATGAATTTTCAATTCTAAAATTATTTGAAATCCGTTTTCCCTATCCCACATTTCTTAAAAAATGAAATCAAATTTTTCTGTATCCTCATATGCAATGCCTAATGTAATTTTTTAAATGATTTACTTTGTAGTCTGCATCTTTTTGTGTAATTCACTTTTGATAACTTTATAAAAAGAAAATTAATCAACTCCAGAATAATTTAGCACCAATCATAAGCAGAAGTACAGTCATCAGCAGATGACTATGTAACTTGAATAAAACAGAAATGCTTATAGTAAGGAGCAGAAAAAGAAGACTAAAATAAAAGGATAAAATATAAATGGATGTTTACGTTTTTCAAACAATAGCTTGAAATGTCACAATTGCATTTGTTATCAGCTACTAATATTCCTTTGAAGTAGCACTGAATATGAATTTTGAAGAAGAAATGTGTTACATTTAATAACTTCAGAATTAATATGATTTTTCCTTTTTAAATGAGTTCCCAAGAAAAAAAAAAAAAAAATTTTTTTCTTAGTTATCTAAGCTTTTCTTTTACATTTCCTGTTTCTCTTAATAGCTTTCCTATCCTGGAAGTTTTTGCTTGAATGTGTAATTATCTGGTAGGGAGGAAGTTATTGCAGTTTTTGAATGAAATTTATTTAAAAACGACAAGAACTTCTTTTTAAGCAGATATCTTGCATTAGCAGATTTCAAGATTTATGAACAATATTTCTGTGGACAGCTGCAAAGGTTTATTAATTTGAAAAATGTCACTTTACAAAAAGATCACCACTAGGAATTCAGAGAACATTTTTTTTTTTTTTTTGAGAATGTGGAGAATTGATGAATTACATTTTCTGGAAACTTGATAAAATTTAAACTTTCTAAATTTGGGGATAAAAATTAAATTAAAGATTTCATGCTCAGCCTGAGTATTAAACAAAAAAAAAAAAAAAAAAAAAACGAGGGACAATATTTCTTGGTAGTTAAAAAAAAAAAAAAAAAAAAAAACGTTCATTTTCAAAAATGAAGTGTTTTGAGGAAACTAAAATAAAAACTTTTCTTTCTGATTATCCATTTGCCTATTCACACATATATACATCCTGCTTTATACACTGTTTTAATCAATGCTTTAAATATGTGAGAGAGAACAAAAAAAAATCTTGTTTTTAGTTTTAACATAGAAAAGAGTTTATTTTATTAGAAAATCAAGTTTTTTGTTATTTTTTTAAAGTCTTGTTTTTCCCTTCAAATCACAGTAATTTTCTGGCTACATCATTGTCATTGGCATCAGCATCATAATAAAATATCGAAAATAATTTTAAGAATATAAATAAAAACAGTCCAAATAATTGATTCCTCTTCTTCTGAAATTTGCCCATCCGTGTTAGGCTGTGGAGTATATTCCTCTCTTCGATAATCATTCTTTCGGCCCATCTTGTCATGGTTCATAGAACCAGGATTCAGCAGATTTTCACTGTAATATGCAATTGCGTCATACTCGTCCACTTCATCGTAATCAGCCAACAAATAAAAGCAAAGTTCATATTTAGACTTTTCTATCAAAGGGTAGCCATAGATGCCAATAATCACAGGCCGTTTGAAAGCAGCAGGAATGTCTATGGATTCTTCACCACAAGTGGCAGAGCTGAGTTCATTGTCATAATAAGTGGGCTTCAGAGTTTTGTCAGAGACATACAGGTCACTGTCACCGAACAAAGGAATCATCTTGACTCGAATGCGACCAGGCCAGTTGAGGTTATAGTAGGTAAAGTTACCAGCACCAACACTGCCACTGAGTTTTTGTAGCAGATGCTCGCCATTTGCAGCAGATATTGTGGCTGAAAGTACCAGAAACAGAATTGTCACAGAGTTCAGCCAATATGACAACCAGATGACAACAGACCAGCTCAGTCTGGATGCAAACAGCAAATTAGCTGCAAAAAAGCAAAAAAAAAAAAATAAATAAATAGATGAGGCATTTAAGATTCCTAAACTTAAAAATACATATACATGTATAATAGATATTCTAGCTGATCTACCTCTATCAATGGGTTTAACAGCTATTTACTATCTGAAAAGTAAGGTACTTGTTGAAGAGTGTTTACCCAAATGCTCCCTCACTGACAAGTATCATGCTAAAAAGTAACAAGGTATCTAGCATTGAGGCAGAGTGCATGAGAAATGGATTCACAACATTCTCAAGAGCATTAATGCTAAGAAAATACAAACAACCTCAACTGAATTTTTTTGCCGAGAACATTACATTAACTACCTTTCAAAATAGACATATTAACCCAGTAAGCTAACTTGTAACACCCAAGATACTTTAACTAAACAACCCAGAAAGGAGTAGCAACATATCCAGGAGGTCACATTATGTAGAACACTCATTAAAACCCTAATTCTAATATTGTTTGTCTAATTGGATATTGTTTGGAGAGAAAAATGTACATTGTCAATCATATATTGACAAATCAGAAGAATTATTGTTTGATAAGAAAAAAGTTAGTCATACTAACAAAAAAAAAAAAAGATTAGTTCTTTAGTTAATAGATTTCCATGTTTTGTAGTTAAAATTCCAAGTTGTAACATTTTGATGTCAAAAACTCAAAGTCACTGGTATTATTTTTACTTCCTACCTTAATGAAAGGTAAATAATTTTGAATTTATTTCATGAAACATTTGCTCTGGTCAACAATTCTTTATGAAAATTAAAGATGCTGTGTTAGATTCCAATTTGAAAGAATTACTTACTTTGGGATTTTTTTCTGGTTATGGCTGCAACAGAACAGCCAACTTTACACTCCATTTCAAATTCAGGTCACTGACACAAACTTTTTTTTTCTCTCTAAGAAACCAGCTGCATAAAGAAAAAAAAATGTTTTCACAAAAATCAAGACAAATTAACAAGAACAGACCTTTACTATTATTAACCTTGACTAGAATTAATCTTTTTTTTTTTTGCTTTTTTTTATCACAGATTGAGATGCAGGTAATATTAATTATTGATAAAGCCTCATCTAATAAAAAAGATTAAAATGAGAATAGAGTTGTTCCAATAAGAATAAGAACTTTAGTTTTAACCAAAAAAAATTATGTTTAAACACTTAAGACTCATATTTTAGTTTAAAATCATATTAATGGAATATCTTATCAGCTACTTCAGAACAATCATTCTTTTCACTGCCAGACTCCAGTCAAAGTTTTCTGGACAGAGGTTTTGTTAACCAGTACATAAAAAAAGGCAAGGAAGTAAATTTATCATATTTCAGTTGCCTTTTTATCTCACGTCAGGGATTCTATACTTGTCAGTAAGCAACAAAGATAAAAAAAAATAAATAATTATATGCTTAAATCTAAATGGCTGCAGCTAGAAAATCCTCACAGCCTAATTGATAAGGCAGCTGACATGTTAAGTTCTCTTAGAGGGTTATTGTTATTTTTTCCAGTTGAAACTGCTTACTCATAACCAGAGAATGAGGGTCATGCTTTATCAGCAACTGAAAATTAAATTAAAATTATGTACATTCATATATCAAATTTAGCAGGCAATGAGGAGAGGATAAAAAAAATACTTACCTTTTGTAGAAGGACTGTCAAAACCAACAATTGAAGGAAGAGTTTCAAAATCAAAAATCATATAACCAGGCACACCAAATATGATAACATGTGGCTGCATAAAATAAAAATACAAAATATACATTTTATTCTTGTATATACATACAGCCATCACTGAACTCTGTCCTCACCTTTACACTTTTTCTTAAATCATTGTTAAATATCAAAATGAAACCATGACAAAGTTCATAAAATTTATCAACATTCAAATATGTTATATTTGGATTGATTTATTTTAATCATTCCTTTCAATTTACATTCAAATTGGCATTGATTAAGAACAAAATAGTACTAAACATTGCAATATGGCTATCAGCAGCCTTTTCTGGACAAAACAGTAGATATCCCTAGAAAGGAAGATTTGAGTGCTTTACTATGAGAAAAATGGTTAACAATCTAGTCAAGCATTACCACCAAATAGGAAATTAAATTGCTACAAAGCATCCCCTATATTTTCACCTTGAGAGAGTAAAAATTTTTTAAAAATCCTACCTTATCTCAGATGAAACTTCAATATTACTTTAAATAGAATAATTAAATTCAGATGAAACTGCGTTTGTGTGTGTGGGTGTGTGTGTGTGTGTGTGGGGGGGGTAAGGCTTTTGTCGCAATGCAAATTGTATTACTTGACAGAAAATTAAATTGGCTTAAAATAAAAGAAAGTTACAAATAGATTTTAAACAACATGGACAAACTGAAGACACAAAAATATTTTTTAAGCAATTTTTATTGATCTCTGGGAAGTGGTAGGGTAGATATGGGTAAGATTTTTTTTACTATTACACCTGTCTCCCTTATTGATTTAATGTGCATAATCAATTCCACACTTGCTCCAGTCATTTTTCAGTTGACTACTTAAAGAGCATAAAATAATAGCTGGGAATGAAATGGGTGTAATACTACAATAATACTGGTACAAAATAACCAAGGTTTGAATAACAAATGAATTAGTTCCTTAAATTAGGTTGACTGGCTTCCATCCTGATCCCACGAACTGTACCCTTTGAAAAGCATTGATAATTCCAGCATTGGATGTCCTTAATACTTCCCCACCCTCTCAAAACCCAACAAATATAGTATATCTATTTTCATCATTATATTTATGAGGGCTTACAGCTATCAGGTCATCCCATAAATTCTGTCCGAATTTTAAATTTTTTGTTAAAATGAATGAAATTTAAAGAGTATTTTATAATGCTGGAGCTGAAGGAGCTGAACATTATTTTTATGTTTAGATGCATTTAAACTGATCAAATTTTATTTCAGAGAATAATAAAATTAAATCTTGTTTGATTAAAACCCTGCTAACATGGAAGTACCTAAGAATCATTTGAGGCACATAATACTTTATGAGTTCAAGAAAGGAAACTCAGCAGCCGAACCAGCTAGAAACATTCACTCAGTTTATGGAAAGGAATGTGTGAATGAAAGAACTTGCAGAAGATGGTTTGCAAAATTCAGAGGTGGAGATTTCACCCTTGAAGATGAAGATCGAACCGGACGTTCAGTTGAGTTTGATGAAAAGCTTCTTGAAGCAGCCCTTGAAGAAAATCCTGCTTTATCAGTTGAGGAATTGGCAATGGTTCTCAGTTCAAACCATACAACTGTTCATCGTCATCTTCAACAACTTGGAAAAGTTCCTAAACTTGGAAAATGGGTGCCTCATGAATTGTCTGAAAGCAACCTCAAATCCTGAGTTGACATCTGCTCTTCTCTCCATTCTTGCCAACTTGTTTTCACCTTTTTTGGATAGAATTATGACTGGCGACGAAAAATGGATCTTTTATTGAAATGTTAAGCATCAGAGACAGTGACTTGGTAAAGGGAAGGACCCCAGCCACAGCCAAGAAAGGAAATCCATGGTCAAAAGGTTCTTCTTTCAATCTGGTGGGATCGCCAAGGAATAATCCACTTTGAATTCTTACCACCTAATGCAACAATTAATGCTCAAATATACTGTCATCAATTAGAGTGTTTGAACCAAGCTTTGAGGAAAAAAAGACCTGCTCTAGTGAATCAAAAAGAGGTGATGTTTCATCAGGACAATGCGCGACCCCACACAGCAAGAATCACGTCACAAAAGATCGAAGAACTTGGTTGGGAGAAAATTCCTCATCCACCTTATTCTCCCGATCTTGCTCCTTCAGACTACCATTTGTTTCGTAGCTTACAGAATCATTTGGAAGAAACAGCTTTTGTAACAAAGGAAGAGGTTAAAACTGACATTTGTGAGTTCTTTGAATCAAAACCAAAAGAATTTTACAGTACTAGAATTAGTAAGCTTGTTAATAGATGGAAGGAAGTCATAGATAATCAGGGAAAATACATTGTTGATTGAATCTGTAATTAAATGTAACATTTGGTCACTTATCTTCTTTATTCAAAATTCGGACAGAGCTTATGGGATGACCAGATACATCACACTGAAACACCAGTTTCCATACAACCATCAAAGTCAAGCAATGTCAGTACCTAGATGGGTGACCGCTTAGGAATACCTGTAAGGTTATGGGTTAATTAGTAAAACTTGTATCACTAAATCATAAAAAAGAAAAAATTCTAACAATCTATATTTTCTGTCTTTAAATAACCTTTAAATAAAGGGTTGGTAAGTCATAAAAAAAGCATTAGATTATTTGCACACCACTACTTCCAGTTTGTTAGTGTTGCACTTTAAATACTAAGTTATTGGGAATCTAAAAATATTAAAACCTTCTTAATGCATATACAGAGGGGGAAGGGTAAATTGTCGCCATTTTACATTTTTAATTTCGTGCATGTGTGCTGTTGGTTTTTGCCAATTGCACAGTATAGTAGGGTCAGTTGGGTACTGTCTGTGAGAAAAAGAGCACCACGATGCCAAAAATTTGGAAAAGGCATGCTATACAGCTTTGCATTTGTATCAGAAACACCAATATGAACATTTCAGAGTGTTTGGGTGTCAATCTGTGGACAGTGCAGAGGATTCAGAAAGAGTTGAATGATATATTCAGTCAACATCATAGTGTTTGGAGTGATCATGAGTGATGGCAGTATTATGCCTCCCTTCACCTTCCCACAGTGCCTCAGACTCAACATGGAGACCTACATCAAGTTCTTTGAGGAGGTAGTGCTGCCCTGAGTCAACAGGGTGGCTGCTGGAAGACCCTATGTCAAGCAACAGGACCCTACACCATGCCACACAAGCAGGAGAACCCAATCATGGCTGTCAGAGAATTTCTGTGACCATATCACCCCTTACATTTGGCCACCTAACTCCCCAGACTGCCACTCCCTTGATTATTATGTGTGGGCGCAGTTGAGTGAGAGAACAACAAAAATCCTAACAAAGATGAACTGAAGGCAAGGATTATGACAGCATTGACCAACTTAAACAAAGAGATTGTCCAGAAGAGTTGCAGGAGATTCTGAAGTCATCTGGAGGCTGTGGTTGAAGCCAATGGAGATTTTATTGAATAAATTTACTTGATATTTCAAGATATTTTTGTGTAATTTTGGTAAATATACCTCTTAAAATGAGATGTCAATGTTATTTTCATTTTTGCATAATTTAGTTAACATTTTATCCATTACGTTCTGTATAAGATTTAGTTCTTTTAATCAATGATGCCAATAAGATAGAAAGGGAAAAATGTCATGCAATTTTATTATTAGGAGCATCACTTTAGAATCTATCTACCAATTTCCATTATCAGAAAGAAATATACTTACTGTCAGTCATTATGGTTGAAGCCAAGTTATTGCATCATCCAAATATTTTGTTCTGAAAAATTAAATACAAGCTTCAATGAAGAAAAAGAAAAAAAATCATACCAGCAATAATTAAATATCTAAGATTGATAAATAAAAATTCCAAGAAAATTTCTCTGGAGTAATCACTTCGTTTCCCCAAATTTCCTTAAAGTCTACCAAATTTCAACTATTATGAAGCCATGCATAAGCAAAAAAAATTACAAACTCAGCTAGGCCTATGCTTATCAGTGAATGGTTTTCTAAAGTTCTAAAAGGAATCCTTATTATTTGATGAACTAACATAGTACTCATAAAAATAATAATAAAAAAATGGCAGAAAAATTTTTGTATTGGTTGGTACTTCTGCTCTGCTTAGATTCATGTTTTTGTTTATTTTTTTCAAATTTAGTTTTCTCAGACAGAATCTAGTTTTTAATTGTAGTCAGCCCAAGGTTGGAG